GGTCTGGCAGAAGAAGCATGAGAGTAGAATAAATGCTGTAGAAATGCGTTCCTTAAGGAGTATGCTAGGGCTGAATCTGAATGACAGGGTGAGAAATAGTGTGATAAGAGAAAAGTGTGGTTTGCAAGATGACGTTGTGACAAGGATTAAGAAAGGAATGCTTCGGTGGTTTGGTCATGTAGAAAGAATGAACGAGGAAAGAGTGACAAAGCAAATTTATATTGCAGAAGTGAACGGCAGGGTCGGGAAGGGACGCCCTATAGACGAAGGTTTATCGACCAAATCGGCGATACATTAAAAATGGGCCAGATTAGGAGTACCCTTAACCGACGAGCGTGTATGCGTAGATATATGGATGTAAAAGAGGCGAGAGAGGTGTGTCAGGATCGCGCCAAATGGAAGTCCGTAGTCTCTGCCTACCCCTCTGGGTGACAGGCGTGAGTGTTTATGTATGTATGTATGTATATGTCATACTGCGTTTTTGAGTAATATGTAGACGATTTATTTTAATTAAATAATTGGCTGACTATTGGCAAATGGCAACCAATAATGTAAAATAAATATCCACGTGTATATGTATGTTCTTATTTGTTTGTTTATATTTTGTCTAAGAAAAATTGGCAATAGTGATTGAATCAATATTGTAGTTACTATATAATTCAAAATCATATTGAAACCTGCCACCGCCGTGTAGTGGTGACTTAATAGATTCCACTAGCCCAAATTATCACGGGGGTGTCGTAAGAAACTACTGAAGGTAACTAAAACAGGAGATGGGCAGCTGCACCTCCCTGATAACAATTGAAAATAATAAAAAAACTGTAATTGCCGACCCGCCTCCCAAGTGGCGCAACTATGACAAATGTCCTAGAGATGAATTATAATATATATGGGTTTTTTTGTTTTGGGGAGACCTATGTTCTGCATCCAGCAATGTTGATGATGCTTATGTTGATATACTTTTATCTTTTAATTTCAATGTTGAGTTTTTTGTTGCGAAACGATTATCTCGTATCCCCGGTCGGACGACCGGACGCTCTGCCAGTCTTCACCCCGTTAATATTGGTTGATATTGGTATACCGCGCGACAAATTTAGAAAGCGGTTTGCTTCGTCATTCTTCATGCAAACATCAAAAGAGTGGATAGTGGATACCTTGCCAGCATCTGTCTTTCCATTCAATAACATTATGGTTTATTTTGTTAAGCTAAGTCGGCGTGTTTTAATACCATCTTCGGCTACATCACCACTTAGCCTTATATGGGAGAGTAGTCAAGTGCGGACTAAATACTTTAAAAATGTTACATTGACAACAATTTTAATAATGCGCACTGTATAACTTGATTTCTTTGAACGTCTGCTTTTGCTAATGAATTGTGTGATAGGAACGAATCATTCCAAAATAGGGCAACTGCTGCCGCTATAACGCTATTATGATTTTTAATGTTTACAGGACAATATGCCTATGTATCATAATTATGTAAATTACATTTGTATTTATAAAGCATTTGGCGTTTTATTGATCCTAACTTTTTTATATCCTTCAAACTTTAAAAAATATGTCCTATAATCTTCATCAGAAGTTTAGCCTAGACTCTAACGAAGTTTACTGGTAGAGAATGTGATTAATTAGAATTAATTAATTAGCGTTTAGATTAATTAGCCCATTACTACATTACATACAATGGACCTAGCGTCAAAGAGTATAATAAGTATCTATATACAGGAAAAGAGAGCCCTCTGACGATATTTTATTGCAGACAAAATTGAACTACTAGCGCCTCCTACAAATTGAATCCGAACTGATTCGCTATATATAGCTATATTATATACATCATATTTAAACTATTATGGTCTTTAATTCGTATACTTACTGAAACAGTTCCTACTTTTTTGTAATACTAATTTATACTTTAATAATAAAAGTAGGTAAATAGTTTCAATAAGTACACTTGTATTTCTGAGATAATAATATATCAAAAGGTTATTTGCAATGAAACAAGAATGACAATTTAATATGACAGTTATTTAATTTTTATTATAAATCTATATAAAAAAATGATAGAGGTTTGCAGTTGTGCGTGCATCACGGAAAAACTACTGGCTAGATTTCAATTAGGTTTTCTAAGTTTTATTTATAAGACACTTGTGTTTTCTTGCCGCGGCGAATTGGGGCAAGCGGTGTAGCGCGCATGTTTAGGAGGTGAAGGTTCTTCTACCTCTGCCTCATGATAAAGTTAGGGTCAGCCTCGCATTATTTGCGCGAGCTACCTGATGCTGTTCAATTATACCTTGATCAATTCGTCCTAGTAGTTTCCTATAGTTTTCTCAGTATTTTTTCACCGTTAAATAATATATCGAAAACTGTTAATAAATTAGTACTAGACGTTTCACATCTATTACATACGATGCAGTTTTTCAATACTGATCTTTGTATTTTACCACGCCGAAGTAGTCATACGGCGATCTATTTTTTTATCAAAACTCTATAATTTAAAATTAAAAATTTTGTACAGCCGACTTCAATATAAGTTATTTAAGAATAACTTAAAAACTATTGGTCTGACCTTGATCAAATTCATATGGGACCACACGAGAAGTACCAGCTTTCAAATAAAAAAAGAATCATCGAAATCGGTTCACCCAGAAAAAAGTTCTGAGGTAACACACATAAAAAAAAAACAAAAACGAAAAAAAAAAACATACAGTCGAATTGAGTACCGGCTCCTTTTTGGAAGTCGGCAGAAAATCATGGAACTTTTATTGTTTTTAAAAGAGATAAGATTGGTAAACGAGCACACAGTTCACCTGATGGTAAGTAGAAACTGTGATCCATAGACATCTAGAATCTATCCTCGATTAAGAATCAAAATGCAGATGAGTTGTTATCCCTGAGGACTAAGATAGAGTACCTCGTTTCCAATAAAAGGGTATTCGCTTCTCTACACTCACTATACGAAACACAGCAGCGCAGCTGCTCCTTTACACTGGCATTCTGTAAGAGCGTTGTCCTTCCCCGGTCGAGCCGATCCATCCGTCCTTACATTCATAAAATAGCTACGGCATGGTCTACCACGTAAAGCGGTTTCTGGCATTCTCCTCGGTTGGCTCTTACGACACTCACGGGATAAAAAGGGGTGAATTCCTTTTTTCAGCAGCACAAAATACTGTTTCTCCAGGTTCAACAACAACAGTGAGGATATGGAGAAGTCAGGTGTGGAGAGGAAGATTCGGAATTCACGTTTACACAAGTAACATAGCGAGTGCAACTAATCAATTTCAGAAGTAGCACTTACCTATAACGTGGTCTACTTGTTTGTTTCTGATTTGTTATTGACTGAAATCAATAAATTTGTATTTTATGTCTAGAGCTGCCATCGCCTAAATTGCTGACGCCGAACAAAAACTTGAAAAACCCGAGGCATTTGCATTTTTTGCCGAATACCATAAAAAAATCATTAACAACAAAACATAAAATCGTAGTTTTAAGTTTAATTTTTTTATTCTATTATAGCCGCCGTGTAGTGTCGTCATAAGAGAATCCACTACTCCTTATCATACCATGCTGGTCGTCAGAGACAACAAAGGAAAACTGAAACAGGAGGTCGCAGTACCAGAGAGTTACAGAGCTGTTTATATAGGAAGACAATATAAACAGCTCAAAATAATAAAAAAAAACTGCGGTTGCTAGCCCGCTTGCCAAGCCTGAGCTAATTATGACAAATATGGAGGATGAAAATATTTCGAGCACACAATGGCGCTAACCATTGTGTGCTTGTGATGGATATTTCCTGCCTTTAAACACTCAGAAATGATAAAACTGTTGACCTGTGCCCAAGTGTGGGACATATATATAGACTATAACTTTTTTACGTCAAGCTATAGTTATATTATGGCTGTAGCACGAATGGGTGTTGCACCAAGAAAGGACTATCACACTCACAGGGTACCAGCGTGAAACAGCAACTTAATGCTGCAGTATTTTGTAGGTACAGTTAGTGTAGAGAACCGAAGACCCTTTTTACTGGTAATGAGGCATCCCATATTAGTTCTCAGGGGTGACAACGCATCTGCAATTTGATTCTTAATCAAGGATAGAACCTCCCGAAAGGCCCCTTGACGCCCTTAAAACTAGGGCAAATCCGAAGAAAACTGGACGGATGGCAGACCTATTTATGCTTCTTTTTATATTAATATTTTTGAAGTGAGAAAAATTATGGTACATACTCGAATTCACGTAATCATGAGTATTCGAGTCTGTGCCACTTTTTTTTTAAAAAGACAGTGTTCAAATTTGTACCAAAAATGGCTTAGCACAACATTGCTTTCTTTTATTATAATTAAACTATTTTGTTAAACTATACGGATCAATGCGTAAGCTGCCACTCGTCGTCAGTAACAGACAAATATGTAACTCTTTGAATTTGTTAAAAAAAAAGCATTAAAATCTTTGCCTCGTAAAATTAAAATATTTATTTAAAAACAAGGATATTAGGCAATAAAATGCTTTCACTCGTTTGTACATAATATAATCACAGAGCAGTAAGGATAAGAATAAGTGTGTAATACAATAATTAATAATATATTTTAGGTAAATATTCAACCCAATTTAAACGCATATGGATTCAAAAAATTAATTCGTTATGTTTTTTAAAATTCTATTTTTATTATTTTCCTACGCGCAATCTCCTCAGAGCCCCCCTCTGTTAAACGTAGTGATTATATTCTCTTTGCCCCTCTGTGCAGTGCATACAATTGCATATAATTATACAAGTGGTTCTTACTCTTCGGGCTGCATACTACCACAGAATAAATAACTACTAAAATATTATACTGTCAAACTGAATTGGCGGATCTGTCTGTCTCTACTAAATTTTATCTGTCGTTCTGTCGAGTAAATTAATTTAACAGATTACTAATGGCCAAGCCTTTTTTTGGTTTTTAGTGTTTTTTGCATGAATTTTATACGTTTATATTAGTGATAACAGTTACTTTAAAATCATGGTTGTCAAAGTATACATGAGTGGTATTTCTGGTAACAAGGAGGTATGTTTAATATTAGAAAATTCCTGGGTCAACCGGGTGCCTTTCTTATCTTTTTACTGAGTCATAAAAATTGTTTTCGATTACGTGATAATGTTCTCTTTAAGGTAAAAAAGAGACAACAACGTGTATTGATGATCTTAGATTCAAAAAATATCAAATACGAGATTATTGACATAACGGAGCCCGGTAGAGAAACTGATAAAGATTTCATGCAAAACAATGCTAAGTCTAACGGCGGCACTGTAAGTGACCCTAACCCACGTTCTCCACTGCCTCCACAATTGTTTAACGATGAAGAATACTGTGGGGTGAGTATGGTTATTATATTTTGCAATTTCAATAATTTAATTTAAAATAAGACTTCTACCTATGTTGTAAGCAACTCCTTCGGCTTCCTTTACATGATCAGAGAGGAGAGGGATCTTGTGCTTTTATTTTTGTTTTATTGATTTTAACCTAATTGTATAATTTATGTTCACCTTCCTCTGTCATTCTTTGTGAAAAATAGTTCTCTAATTAATTGTCTGGAAGAAATTGCAATAAGACTGCCTATTGTACTACCTCTGTGTACAATGAAGAATATATTGATTGATATTGATAACTTATTATGCCCATCTAACAATATAAACAGTCATTAATATAAATTATAAATATAGTGTTATATATATTAGAATAGTGTTATGTTAGTTCACTTGCTGGCAGGCGCGGTCGCAGCCTGAAATTTTGAAAAGGGTCACTAATAATAAAATATGTCGAGTAAATTAGACTTTATTGCAAAATACACAATTTTATTGCACACATAAAATAAATGGAAGTCTTCTATTTTTATTGGCAAATCGGGTGATAATATTTGAGACGTCTAGAGCTATCTCTGCATGAATATTTTGAATAATTAAACTCTTCTAACATGTTTGCTCTCAACCAAGTTTTTACATGCCTTAGTGTATAAAATGATATCTCTGATGTCGCACCGCTTATAGGAAGAGTTGCTAGAATCTTACATGGTAGAACCATGCTGCAGCTATATTGTGGTTGCACCACAAATGGGTCGGCTCGTCCGGGGTGGGACCACACTTTCACAGAATACCAGCTTAAAATAGCAGCTTAATGCTGCTGTGTTTCATATGGTGAGTGTAGAGAAACGGAGACCCTTTTTACTGGAAAAGAGGCATTCCATCTTAGTGCTCATGGGTGACAACGCATCTTACTAACGTAGTTTTAAATAGAACGGTTTCATTGAAACAAATTAAATTTTCATAAAGTGAAGTAAAGTTATAGCCAATATAAATGACAGCAATATTCCATGAATAACCAAACTTGCACTTTAGTGTAAGCAGCTGTCCTGACAGAAGTGCTGCCACAACTGTGCAAGGACACTTCCTTGCAGCTGCCTTGGCCCTAAATTCTGAACCACCCATATTTCAGTTTCGAGGAAATCTGAACCCACAATAACTAAATGCTGTGGGTTTATTCTAATAATACATTTTGAAAAGAAGAAACCAAGGTGAGCTGGTTCTTTTTTGCAGTGATCGAGGTTTAAATAAACTCTTTCTTGCAACTATAAACCTACACATCAATTTGAATACCGGTAAAATAGCAGCTTAACACTGCTATGTTTCGTGACCCTTTTTACTGGAAATGAGGCATTCCATCTTAGTCCTCACGGGTGACAACGCATCTGCATTTTGATTGGTAATAGAAGATATATGTAGATGTCTATGGGCCGCAGCAACCACTTACCATCAGGTGGACTGTGCACTCGTTTGTCACCCTTATCCTATAAAAAAAAACATCAGATAATGGGCTAATTATTTTTATATGTAAATAAAATTGACTATAATAAATTTTAATGTTTGATTGAGACAAATTAAACAGCTGCATCAAAAGTGTGAGGCAGGAAAATAAAATTCTGTTGAGATAATGAAGGCAAATCCTTACTTCAATGGAGGAAACATCATGATATATATCACGCTAAATATCCACCGATAAATTTTCCTCGCACCCTGCTTCAAATAATTAAAACTAAAATAAAAAATAATATATAAAACATACATTCAACCTATTCGGACATATGCATTCCAAATCTGGAGTCCCTATTTCAAAGGATATTGAGTTACTGGAGAAGATTCAATGCTGATTTTCCAAAGTTCCTAGTGCATTGAAAAACAATATTTGAGAAAAGGCTGCATAAAGTTAAATTAACGACTCTGAAAGATCTCAGAGATCAAGGAGACTTGATCCAAACATATAAAATTATACGCAGGCACTACAATCTAGAAAATTTTGACAAAGATTTATTCCAGTACTCAAAAATCACACATTTTTATTTATTTATGTTCTTAGGATACGGTTTTATATCAGTTATTTCAACTGCTGGCCTGTTAAATAATATTAATAAAAATAATAAAACCTTTTTAAGTAAAACTATATTTCATAATATATCAAATGTAGTTAATTTTTATTGCAGGACTACGACCAGTTTGATATGGCCAATGAAGTTGATACACTAGAACAGTTTTTGAAATTGGAACTTCCTCCAGAGGGACCATCACAGACTGAGAAGGTACTGTGTAGTGTTGATTTAGGTGTGAAGATTGATGTAACAGTTAATGATTTGATTTTATTCTAAATATTATCTAATGAAACTTCTTAAATATATATGAATTGTTGCCAGAAATATAACACTAACCATCACATTTTGTCCTATCTTGAGGTCTTTGATAGGTTGTATTACAACTATGTTACACAACTAGCTTTCACCTTGACTTTGTCCACATAGAACTTAAACAAAAATCTGGGAAATACATAGTAATAGTGGTCTGGGCAAGTAGTTCAAAGATAGATAAACCTACTGTAGTCTAAGTTTTTGCCATTATCTCGAAAACCATGTGCAATATAGAAAAAGGCTGAAAATAAGAATTAGAGATTTATTAATTTCACATAACAGAGTTCTGATCATCTTATCCTTTAATACTCAATACTTTTGTTGTAAAATGATATTGAAGTAAACAAAATGTTAAAAATTGACTATACTAAATCTATATCATAATATAAAGAGAATATTATATATATATATATATATATATATATATATATATATATATATATATATATATATATATATATATATATACTATAATCTATAATATAAAGAGAAACCTCGTAACTCAAACTATCAATTAAAAATTAATAATGAATTGACTAAATCAAATCAAGAAGTTGCAGTGGTATTTGAGAAATATTTCACTGATGTTCCTATCTTGACAACAGAGTCATTGAATACTTCTCCAACTGTCGCCGAGTCATTACTTAAACAGAATGTTAATACCTGTTTAAAAGAATTTAGATTTGAAATATTATTACCGCATAATATTGTAAAATACTTCAAAACCATTGATGTAAAGAAAACCGCAGATTTGTGGGGGATTTCCGTTACAGTGATTGCGTCCATAATAGATTTAATTGCACCTCATCTTGCTATTATTTTTAATACTTATATCGATTCTGGTGTGTTTCCTGATTTAATGAAGTATAGTAAAGTAATACCTTTATTTAAATCTGGTAGTACATTGGACCCCGCTAATTATAGACCTATTTCTGTACTACCGACTCTCAGTAAAATTTTTGAAAAAATAATTTTGGATCAATTGTTAATTTTTTTTTAATACATATAAATTACTTCATAAAAATCAATTTGGTTTTACAAGGGGTCGCTCGACGTCTGACGCCGGTGTTGAGCTTATGAAATATATTTTTAATGCCTGGGAGAATTCACAAGATGCCTTAGGTATTTTCTGTGACCTTTACAAGGCTTTCGATTGTGTTCATCATGATACATTAATCAGGAAACTACAACATTACGGTGTAAAAAATTTGGCGCTTAAACTTATTACTTCATATTTAAGTAACAGAACTCAAAAAGTCGTCATTAATGGTAAATGTTCCTCCGGATCGGTAGTATCAATGGGCGTTCCTCAGGGCTCGATTCTTGACCCATTCCTGTTCTTAATCTATATTAATGACTTACCTTATCTTGTAGGGGACAATCACGATATAGTATTATTTGCTGACGATACCTCTTTAATTTTCAAACTGAAACGGCAGTCAATTAAATATGACGATGTAAATAATGCTCTATCGAAACTAGTACATTGGTTTAACGCCAACAATTTGCTCTTAAACGGCAATAAGACAAAATGTATTAAATTTACAATACCTAATGTAAAACATTCAAAAACCAATGTGCTCTTAAATGGGGAGGAGTTGAGTCTTGTGTATACCACTGTTTTTCTCGGTATTACTATTGACGCGAAACTTCAATGGGGCCCCCATATATATATATTAGCAAGCAGACTTAGTTCTGCAGCATATGCTGTATGAAAGATTAGAAGTCTCACAGATGTTGAGACAGCTAAGTTAGTGTATTTTAGTTACTTTCATAGCGTAATGTCTTATGGAATTTTGCTATGGGGTAATGCGACTGATATTGAAGCTATATTTGTTTTGCAAAAGAGAGCCGTACGGGCGATTTATAATCTAAATTGTAAAGAGTCTCTTAGAGAAAAATTTAAAGAAATAAACATATTAACTTTGGCATCGCAATATATTTATGAAAATGTAATGTATGTACATAAAAACATAAATAGCTTTAATAAGAATAAGGATGTTCATACTTTAAACACTAGGAACAAACATAAGCTTGTAATGCCACTTACTATACTCCACAGAATTAGTAATTCATTTATGGGGCAATGTATACGCTTTTACAACAGAATCCCAGAACATGTTCAAAGTTTGTCAATAAACAAGTTTAAAAGTTTTATTAAAGAAAAACTGTACAAAAAGGGTTATTATAATATCAAGGAATACATGAATGAAAATAACCCCTGGGAATAAGGTGATCGCCACCATGCTGGTTCTATGAAAATTCATTTAAATTTGTATAATCAAAATTATTGTTAAGTGAAATTATGTTTTAAAAAAAAAGTCCCGCTGGGTTTCTTGCTGGTTCTTCCCAGGACAGAGGTATTTTCCGAACCAGTGGTAAATAAAATAATGACTTTCAATAAGTATTATGTAATAATCCATATTGAATAAAAATCATTCTATTCTATTCTATAATAGATAGAAGATATAAACCTTTTTCGTTAAATTACAAACCAAATTTTTTTAGCTATAAACTTTTTCTTATATACTGCATAGTTTATGATATAATCATCAAAATTCATTTCTTATTTGATTTTACAAAAAAAAAGAATCTTGAAAGATTTTCCAATAAAATATAGCCTTGATCTATAGATTTATATGTATGTGTTTGTGGAGTACAATACAAAACCAGTTTCCTTCTCGCGCCTCTTACAACGCTCACTATCTGGTAGTGGATTATTTCACACCTCCACTAAGCATTATCATCATCAGCCTGTGGCAGTCCACTACGGGACATAGGCCTCTCCCAAGGCGCACTACTTAGCCCTGTCTTCTGTTACATATATCCAGTTCTTACCAGAACCAACTAAGCATGATGGAACTATATTATACTCCTATCTGTCAGAGGCTACAAGATTTTTAATGTATTTGTTTGAGTTGGCTTTTACAATTTCCAAACAACAAAACCCAATGTTCTAACAATTGTTTGTATATTGGTAAGGGGGTGTGTACTGTTTAAAAAAAATTCTGGCACTTAGCAGTTCAAGGATGTGCAAATTCTTTTCCTTAACAAACACAACAATCGCTGCCCCTCTTAAGTAATGAAATTGTTACTAATGCCATGCTTGATATTATATTGTAACACTGTATAATATTTAGCAAACACACTCATTTAAATAAACTTGTTAATTTTTAAGGAAACTGCAGTCAATGGTCATGTTGATGGAGGTAAGGCCAGTAAAGAATCAAAGGAAAACTCACAAGAAAGAGAAACATTGTTTTCCAATGAAACTGGAGAAAAAGAAGTCTCTCCTTCTAAAGATGAATCTACCGTCAAAGCAAGTTCACCCACAAGGGAAACGACACCATCAAGAGAAGAAACATCTGAAGCACCGACCTCAGTTGAAAATGACGAACACACTGAAGTAAGAGCAGATTCCCCAGCAAATGAAACCTCACTTGAGAAAGAAAAATCGCCAGAGCGACAAAAGTCGGTGGATAAAGAGAAGTCACCTATGGGAGATGAAGAAATAGCACAAAACGCCAATGAAAGTGAAGAAGCACCCAATGGTGCAGTAAGTTCTCGTGAACAATCTGAAGAAAAAGAAGCTGTTGAAGAGCAAACAGGTAAAGCTGAAAGGAAAATGGATGATCCATCTATAGCTCTCATTCAGAGTGAGCAAGCTGCTGCCGAGTAAAGAACCAGTCACTTTATTGTGCTTTTCAGCTCAAATCTATTCATTAAATTCATTTTGTTATTTATAATGCATCATTCACTTCGTTGACATAATCAGTCATTGTATATAATGCGAAGAGGTATTTGTTGAGAATTAATGTTATGTGGCGATGTACATTTACATCTGTCTATGAAGTGGCCTATAATTGATTATCATATTATTAGAGGATTAATGAAATTTTTATAAAGTTCCATATTAAGAATTCTATTTAACAATTTTATCTCTCATTAAGGCTTTGTATTATTTTAAAGTATTAATATTTGATTTTATATTTTGCACAGAAAATTAATATTAAAATGCGAGATGAATTTATGTTTAAGTCTACAAATAATTTATTTTGTATGTTTAGGTTAGTTGCTTGTAAGAGTGCTCTATTTTATTATTTTATATATCATATTATAGATTATACAAAGACATGACAATTATTTTAAATGTCAATGTTATTAACATTAAGCTTGATCTGAGGTGCTGACAATATTTTACAGTTTAAAAAGCAATACAAATGAGCATTCTTAATAGTAAACTACAAAGCTTGTAATTTGTTTTGTATCATTTGACCTTTTTATCACTTATTAATATTACTATTAAAGACAGATTTTTTTAAACTAATTTTTCATATGAATTATATAAAATGCCATATAATTTTAATTCTTTTATTTTCAAGTATAACGCTTAAAGGAAGGAAGAACATTTTATCTAGTTGCTATATTAATTTGTATCCTGTAGTTTTTCATTTATGGGTACATTACATACTCATCAGAGATTTATAGAATAGCTAAACATCACATCGACACAGGGTTCCCACATTAACAGTTTTCGTAAATCTCATAATTTTTGATGCTACATTGATTTGATATTCTTATACTTCGATAATTTAACGTTCGTAATACAATATTGCCGATCGTAGGACTAACAAGATCAAGTAAAATATTACACTTGATCTTGTAAAATTGTTCTTTTCATGGGTTTTTCTTTTTAGCTTAGCCTACGACACATATGTGATGAGAAACACATGAAAAACAGAAATTATAAAAAAAGTGCTGCACTTTTTATTGGCTATTTACAAAAGTATTATTATAATAATTCGGAAACTAATAAAAATTAAAATTTATATCTAATGTTATTTTGATTATGATTCTTAGAATATTTCTGTAGATATTTAAAAGATATTTTATTACACCCAGTAGTCATTAATGTTGCATAAAAGGACCCCAGCAGATATCCTTACCTATTCGATAAATTGGAAGCTATATAAATAGTAGTTTTTAATGTTGTGTTGCTTACAATTAGTTATGAATTAGTTATTATTTGCCTAAATTTCATTGGTGGCGGAAAAACCGTCTGAGCAGAATGTAGGTACCTATCGAAATTTAAATTTAAGCTTTGAAGTTTAAACTATTTTGTTAAACTCTACTAAATTCGAAAATCAAATTTTTTAAATATACAGTAGCGACTACAACAAAATTAGTGTAGAATTAGTCATCATGTAGAAAATTATATATATATATATATATATATATATATATATATATATATATATATATATATATATATATATAGTTTTGATTATTATTTATAGAAGGGGGCAAACGATTATGTGACTCACTTGATGGTGAGTGAATACCACCGCCCGTGAACACCTGCTACACCAGAGAAATTGCCGATTCGTTGCCGAAAAGCACATTTCTTGAATGTGACTAAGATATATTGGTCGGAAAAATCGCTGGTGATACCTGAATCAACAAAGTAGTCGTACGAGGAAGAAAACTTCTGGCAAACCGCAGAGCGGTGAACCGCCATCATCCAGATGGATTGGTATTGAGAATTTTGTCGCGATGTGCGATGGTTTTTGGTTTTAGATAATTTGTACATTCTACAATCTATTACCATCGAATTTGTCTGGTATTTAATACATACGCTTGAATTTATTTAAGTACTACTTGACCAGAACAATTAGGCGCATGACAGGTATGTGGTTTCGGCGTCCGGACTGTGCTTCTGTCGCCGCGCTTCCTCCAGGGACTTGCAGTCGTGACTCATTATACAGTGATAACTTTGGCCTCACTCTATGACTTAGAATGAGTCAGATTTTGAATTGCCTGAGATTAAAGAATCGGATTCCTCTTACGATTATGTATAAAACATCAATCAAAATCGCTCTCTTCGATTTCCTCTCTTTTAAAAAATATTTTATTTTAATAAAAATGTATACCTAATTGTAAACTTGTATTTTTAATGTTAGGAACCTAAAATCTTCCTCGCATATACATAAAATAAAATTCTATATAGGTAACTAATTTGTATTAAGTATACATTATAATCATGTACCAATCAGTGTTTAGGTGATTTGGTTTTGGGTTTTGGTATTCCCTCCCTAGTGCCGCTGACGTCTGAGCTGTCATGCGCCTAGTTGTTTAGTATATTCGTACAGTGATTATATTTTGTTTCGTAATTCTACACTTCCATTAAATACGATAATAAATCAACAAACGAATTACAGCCCACCTGATGGTAAGTGGCTACTACAGTCCATGGAAACCTGCAGCCAACTTTAAAACGAAGAAGGCTAGATGCGTCATCATCTCCTAGGAATAACAGGGAATGCCTCACATCCTATAAATATAGTGACTCTTTTACACTTCAGACCGAAACAGCAGTTCAAGGACTGCTTTTCACTTGCTTTCGGCAGGAATGGGTAAGAGGGAAGAATAAATAGGTAAGATAATAATTCAATTCAAATATACACTTTTTCGCGAAATAAAATGAGATTTTAATTGTTAATATAGCAGACCACGTTGCAAATTAATTTAATATTTTACTGAATTTAATAAATTATTCACATTGAGATTTATGAATAGCATACCAGAGAACATGGCCCACCGTCATCCCGGAGAGATGGCACAGCTATGTGATGGCCGGCCTCACTGCCGTCTACACTCTAACGACAGACCACGATCTGCCCGCAGTGAGAAGAGTACTAAGCGACCTTTTCACTTTTACATTGCAAAAATTAGAATAATACCTACATATGTGTAAATAAAACTAGTTTGATATAAAGCGTTAAAATGTTTATTTCCACGATTATTTTTGAGCAAATAATTTTTATAATAATTTATTACATATTTAACTTAATATAAATATGAATTAACATTTTATAAAATCTATAATGGAAATGTAGAAAGTTCAGGTATCTAACGCACTTTGTAGTACAAGTACTTAAATATCTAATGCACAAACAGAAATTAGCCTCTATACTAGATATTATATAGCACACATTCATATACTTTTCTTCGATGCCGGCGAAGGTGGAGTGCTAAAGTTTTGAAGCAGACTCTCACCGGCCATTTCCGTTACTTTTTTATACCGAAGTTCGTTATCTGGAAGCTCATCAAGCATTCCCGCTTGAACATTTTTATCTAAAGTGACTAATCGTTGACGCGAGTTTTTATATTCTTCTATAAGACTCAGATTCCTTTTTATCCCGTCAACTAATTTAACTACGGAGTATTCGCCCATCGCTGCACCCTCTTGCAGCTTGGAGCCGGCGATCTTGGCCATGGAGCAAGTCTTCACGTCAGAGACTAACTGTAAGAACCATTCCTTCAGATTGTTCAGTACCGTCGTCGGCCCCTCGTACTCGTTAGGTACAATGCCATCTACTTCGGACTCGAAGAAGGATAGGAGCGGAAACCATATTCTCGTTCTGAAATAATTTAAATATATTTGAACAACCTTTCTTTGACCAAATATAAGTAATCCATACCAGATTGGAAGCAGCATCAAAAACGCAAGACGTCTGGAATTGCATTCGCCACTCCGTCCGCTAAGCCTGGTAAATCCTCCCTACTTTGGGATAGAAACATGTCATACAAGCAGATGAAAATGAATAAGCAGATTTCTATAAAATTAAATAAGTCTTATTAGTCCCGTCACCCTAACTCATCCTCATCACTCCTCATAGTTTCGTTAGAGTTGACCAAGGCAAATATTTAAATGCGTGTGTGTGTGTGTGTGTATGTGTGTGCGTGTGTATGTGTGTGCGTGTGTGTATGTGTGCGTGCGTGCGTGTGTGTGTATGTGTGTGTCAACTATAGTATGGTCTATAGATGACGTATTAACTCGTGACTCCTGGCCGTGTTCGTGACAACTTCCTAACCGCCAGAAGCTACTAACTAACTGCGCAAGTGATATAGCGCCACAAGTTTTGGGATATCTTAAGTTTTCTAAGTACCAAGCCACTGTAACATTTTTGTGATATAGCCGGGGTAGGCTGGGATGAAGTATAAGGAATACTGACACACAGAAACAGATCTAAAAAAAACCAACACTCAATCAATATTATTGATTGAGTGTAGGTTTCTGTATATAAGTTTCATTAATTCATTACAGACTATCATAGTCCACAGCTGAAAAAAGGCCTTCCATAGATTATAGATTCCCCCTATAGGGGAAATAGTTGTGATAGTTGTCAGCCTCGCCAGGCGCAATTTTTATTTTTTACTTGTTCATAGAAAGACGCTGCTGCCTATCTCCTGGTTTGTTAGCCTCTGTCGCCTCATATGACACCCACGGGACGATATCGGGTAGTGGATATTCTTATCCCGCCAAATATATTCTTTAATGAACACGAATACATAAAATGACAATATGCAAAGGTAAAATTGGCGGTCTTATCGCTCTTAATTCTGAAATCAATTTCTTCGAGCCAATCTTTTTACACAAAGAACTTTGGACGGCTCGTAGCGCACGGTTAAGCGTTTGACTGCAGCGCGACGGGCCACGAGTTGGAATATTTGTTTGGTCTAAAAATAAATGTCTAGGTCTGGATATTTGTCCATAATTAAATTTTGTCAATTAATCCTAGTAACGTTAAAATAAATAAAAAAAGACTGGTCTCAAATAGTGATACAATGAAATTAAAAACACATGATGATAGTTAAGGATAGGTAGAAGTAAGATGCAAAAAAATATAAGAGTTACGTATAATAAGGCTCGAATAAATTTGTGAAGGAGAAGGACATAAGAAGTTGAATATTACGTAAAGGTAAGGGAGTTAGTTTCACAAGCGTACAGCTGTAACGGCAAAATGATTTTATAAAGAAAGAGGATGAATGTACTGGAGTATAAAGAGTAGTATATTTATATCACTGCAGTACCCGAGTAGAAGACTTTGTGCTCCTTCTCTTTAAAGAAGTTCACGTGCTACCTACTCACCACATGTTATTATATAGTATAAGTAATTTTCATAATTTACGAGTGGTTTATTATGCTGATAACCGCGCAATAAAATTTGTTCCGAGTGATTTGTCTTTAGTACGAAAGATTTATTACTATATAGATTAAAACTCCCGTTGTTAGGTACAGAAGTTATTCTTTGGGGGAAATCAGGCGTGAAGATTAGACGCTAACCTTCAGTGCATATTGTTAGATTTCAAATAAACGCAACTAAATTTGACATCGTTGAGCACGATATAAAGGGCAAGTAAAATTATATTTACAAATTACAGTGGTGCAGGCAATGAGGATGTACTAGTAACTCATTCTACTTGATTACTGTAAGTACATGAGCCACGTTCAACAATTAATTTAAACATAAATTTAAAGTAACTTAGCTTAATTTTGTTTGACCCTTGGAACAGAATTAGACGAACTTAAATATACGACATGAACTTTCAAAAACACCTTTATATTTATATATATATATATATATTAATGGTGGCCTGATCAATTTCCACCGCAGCGAAATCTTACAAATATTCTCTGAAATTGTCAATTGCGCAGCAATAAATGTACGCGCAAACAGGTTCACTCGACCTCATCTACCCGTAGTCGATGTATTATAGCTTAGCTTGTGTCCAAAGACACGGTGATATTCACAACAACTAGACCCAAAATCCATCAATTGTATTTTTGTTGTGCTGTAAGTCAATGATTTTTGCAAAAACGATCACTTCAGCTGGATTCACACCCAAGATCTGGGGCGTCGTATGCTTTGTACGAGATTACTAAAACAGAGAACGGTTTGTTTTGAGGCTCAAGAAAACTAAGGTTTTTAAATAATCACTAATAGGTATAATTGAAATAATAGAAATTAACTACAGAAAAACTTATACCCGAAATATATTTTTGTCCGACGAAATTTTGTAAAAAGTGCATGTGTGTGCTTGTGCATTAAATTAAATTTTCCGCAAACATTATTTTGTTATACTCATAAACATAGAGAGAATGGATTGTGCATTCCGTATTCAGTAGTGCAGATACAGACCGAAAAGTGCGAGAGAGACAAAGCGAATGTGTGGCCAGAAGTTCTCTTTTTAGAATTCTGTGCAAAGAGGGTCTACTGTTTGCAATGTTATATTTGTGATTGATAATTTATATCACATACATACATACACAACATATACAGTTAATTAAAAGTATTAAATTATTTTATCAGAAATTATGTGTCAAAAATGGTTTTACGTGTTTTTGTGCAAGTGGATAAACTCCCTCGAAGATCATCTCACAAGTCCGTTTACAAATAAGTAAGGTTTAGAATATCAAGTGTATATATTTTATATGAAGTATATTATGTTTGTTTAGTTAAAAAAAATAGCTTTTAGTCAATAAAAAAAATTAAAACAATTTTCTATTTCAATATTATTGTTTCATATTTGATATTATTCTCCATGATCAAACCTCCTTACGAGGGATGTATTGATATTAATTTATTGGAACAATTATACATACAAAAATATTATATAATTTTACACTGCGCCTTCGGCCTTCGCCTTGCAGGAAAGAGACAGGTATTGGCCGCACAGTCGCTTTGTCTCTTTTTAGAAAATATTCACTTTTGTGAGGAGGCTAACGCTCAGTCCATTCTCTTCCTGTTAAGATTAAAAGATACTGGATGTCATTAGCACTCAAAATCGGTTTTATCTAAAAATATGCTTTACTTTTTCCAGTAAATTTTAATAGAAAAAAAAATCAACAGAAAATAATAAGTTCATAAGGTAAATTTCAATTTAAGTAGAATAAAAATACTAACATTTATTTCTTTATATTCTAAAGAATATTTTATATTCTAAATAATATAATATCAAGGTGTTATTGATTAAATAATATTTTGGAAGATATTCTGACATTAACTATAAAATAAAACAAACATTCGATATTAAATAATTTCAAAATACGCTACCTGACAATTTCTTATAAAGTGAAAATTTGTTTTATTCAAACTGCATCATCATCTCTTTCATAATCTTTTGTATCAAACAATTAGCGATAGCGATTACACCTAATCGTTAGCTATCAACGAATTTTCGTGAACAGGATGGAAATAATCGTTGCGAAAATTTTATGAAATTAAAAATCTAATTAAGTAAAACGAGTTTTGAAAGGTACCTACTGTTATTGGCCTTTGGGTCTTTAAGCATAACATCTTGTGACATAAGCATTCACGTTTCAACAGATTTTAGGGAGTGGCATTAAGGAAAGAAAAGTCGACTCCACGCCTTAACTTTTTAAATGAAATACAGCCATGTTGCAGCTCTATTAGTAGTATAGTTGTAGCACGAATGGGTCGGCTCGGCCGGGGAAGGACCACGCTCTCACAGAATACCAGCGTGAAATAGCAGCATAACGCTGCTGTGTTTCGTATGGTAAGTGTAGAAAACCGGAGACCCTTTTTACTGGCAAAGAGGCATTCCATCTTAGTCCTAATGGGTGACAACGCATCTGCATTAAGAGTCTTTATTGAGGATAGATGTAGATGTCTATGGGTCACAGTAACCACTTACCATCAGGTGGACTGTGTGCACGTTTGTCACCCTAACCTATAAAAAAAAAGAAAACAGTACATACAAATCTCAAAATTTTTTTGAGCTTTTAACTCTCGTACCTTTGTCCATCTATTATCCTATAATTTTTATAACTGTTATAGTGCCAGTGCTTGACTACTACCCCCCTGGATGGTAAGTGGTGATGCATTCGAAGATGGTAAAGCGCACTTGACTTAGTTTAACAATGCCTATTCACTCATGCCTTCAAGATACACAAATTATAATCGGATGGAAAGGCAAATAGTGGCAAATTGTTCCACTCCTTTGTTGCAATTAATGAAATGTTGCCGAATGTCGCGACGGGCAGGATTTTAGTACCCAAGCGTATGCGCAAACACAGGTGCACTCCCTGTTCCCTCACTTAAATATCGACGGGACGGTAATCCGACACGACCGGAGAGAAATCAAGCGCAGTACCAACTGTTATACGTGCAACACCACCAACCTCCTGACTCTGCTACTGAATTGTTGACTCGACCCGGGATTCGAAGACAGAACAAACGACAAAGGATACTTTTTGGTTCCAATGCGTGATATCTGTACAACAAAAGGACAGAAACGGTTGAACTGGTATTGTTGGAGTTTGCTGGTGGAGTTTGCTTAATGAACACTGTAAGAATACTCAGTTCGGAAAATAGAGGTAATTTGCACACACGTAATTGCTAATGAGAGATAGATATAAAAATATCAACCACAGTATCCATCACCCAATTAGATGCAGAGGGTGAGAGAAGATATTATGGCGTCTGGTACGTTGATTAGTTTAAATAAATAAATAAATGTTATTTTATTGCCACATTAAAAAAAACATATGTACATATTATAAACTAAGTACTTCATCTTAATTAAATTTAGGCAATCGGAGGTGACTCAGCTTATGCTTACATGCGACTAAGATCCCGTGAGCCGCTGGTTTTCAGGCACTCCTTCCTCCCCGAGATGATACATGGGTGTCGTGAGAATTGCGAGTTCCCCAATCACCGCTATCATTCACTCATCTTATATTAAAATTTTATAAATGGTTGTGAATTTTTATAATAGTAATTCTTGCATTCTTGCTTGCTTGCGCGCGCGCGCGCGCGCGCGTGCGTGTGTGTGTGTGTGTGTGTGTGTGTGTGTGTGTGTGTGTGTGTGTGTGTGTGTGTGTGTGCGTGCGTGTGCGCGCGCGAGCGTGCTTGTATGTGTTTGTGTGTGTGTGGTGTGTGTGCGTGCGTGCGTGCATGCGTGCGTGTGTGTGTGTGTGTGTGAGCGCGCACGCGCGCGTGTGTGTGTGTGAGCGCGCACGCGCGTGTGTGTGTGTGTGTGTGTGTGAGTGAGATTTTACTTATCTAATAAATATTAATTCATGCGCACAACATAACAATTATCTACCTGGAAGAATCATTCTGCATGAGCGCCTGGTTGTTGGACAGCGTGTGGTAGTACAGGAATAGGCGTGACGTGAGGTAGAAAGCGATGAACACGTCAATGGAGTAGTGTTCGTGCGCTGCGAGGATGAAGAAAATTCCGAACATGTTCATTACCCACGTCAGGATGTGCAGCAAGTACAGGTTGCGCGAAGTGTCTGCAACAAACAACGTTTTCTTTAGGGAATGAAGTAAAAAGGAAAGAAAACGGCTAAAAACCTTTATTACCTCTTGTTTAGGTAAACGTGGTAAAGCAAAGCATGAATAAGTCGACTATGAAGGACCACACTCTCGTAATACCAGCGTACAATCAGCATAAGAAGCTAAATACTTCTGTATTTTGTGTGGCGAGGGTAGGGAACCGACAGACCCTTATTACTGGTAACGAGACATTTCATTTTAGTCCTCACCACAAGGATGACGACGCATCTGCATTTTGATTCTTAATCGTGGATAGATGTAGATGTCTATGGGCCATCAGGTGGACTGTGGGCTCTTTTCTCACCCATTTTCTATAAAACATCCGAAATAAACACCGGTTGATTCGTTCTAAAGATATTGTACGACAAAATTTTATTTACATACACACGCCACACACACACACACGCACGCGCGCGCGCATGAAGAAAGAGAGACAGACGCACAAGCGCGCGCGCGCCTGCTCGCGACCGGACGTCCAGTCTGGAATAGTCAGAACGGCTTCCTAGGACCTCAAAACATGATCTGATGTAAACTAGCATTCTCAAAAACAAACCGAAATCTACAACTGCCTACTTTTGAAAATTATTACTTTTCAAAGCGGCAAGTTAAAAAGCGGCGTTAAAGAATCTTTCACCCCATTTCCTCCTCACCTCGTAGGTGTCGTAAGAGGCAACTATGGGAACGGCCCGCAAAATTTTATAAAAAGCGATAGGTGGTAAAATTAAAAATTCTGTACAACCGACTTAAATATAAATAAAATGAGAACATCATCAATGTAGTCGAAGTCTATTAAATACGCATTATTAAGGATAACAGACGTAACAGTGTAACAGTGAAGGCTTGGCGAGAAAAAGTGTAAGATTTTTCCGTCACGACCCCCTTTCTATAATGCGAGGGAGATGGATATTATTCCATCTCCCTCGCACTTTGTCTTATCTTGCCATGAAAGAAATATTATTTTAAATGACGCTTCATTTTAATAGACGCTAGTGCATAATCCATTTACCTACTTGTATTTGTTAATCAAAAATATGACGGTTTAAGAAGAACTTTATTATCTCAAAGAATTTTACATTCACTTTTTGAGACTTTTGGTTTGGGCTATTCGTACAATGTAACAATGCAAATTATAATTTAAACTATAATTTAAACTACCGAAAAATACAAAATGTAGGTGGTTGTAAAAAGTTTCTAGCGACAGCGATGGCTCACTTTGTGCAAATTCGACCGCCGACTTCTTTGTGCCGATTACATACATAAGCATTACTGGATGTTACTCGCACAGTAGAGTGATACAGTTGATTAGATTCAATAGTTTAGAGAGAAAAAAAAGTCTGATTAAGTGTCGGTTATAATAATTTATATATTTAGTAAAATTTGTAATATTTATATTATTTATTATTTCTGAATAACTTAAATAATTGGTATTTTTAGAGTGTAAGAAGGAAATAATCTAGATATTTATTTATTTATGTTAGTTATTTAACATAAGAGTATTTATTTATTTAGATAGGTCTTTGTTTAGTCTTTCGATAGATGATACTTAAGTAGTCTTTTAAATGTGTGCATTGATTTTGAGTCTCTATTTGAATATCATACGTTTATCAATAATAATATACTACGAAAGGAACTTCGTTCTAACCGAGTGTTCCACGACACTCACCCATGTTTTTTATTTAAGTACAAAAGTATAATATATAAGTCATGTACTTTAACACGGTCAAAGAACAATAAAATGATGACGCGCTCGTACAAGCACACGATAACAACGACATTAGTACGTATAGCAATAGTTTCTTTATCATTGGTCTTTGTTCTTGGACGCGTTTTGTGTGACGCAAATAACGAAAAAACATAAACCTCTGACAATATGTCACATCAGGGGTGTCAGATATTTTGTCATATTTTCTTAGACTTCTCTCATTGATTCTTATGATTAACCTTATAAACGTGGTAGAGCCACGCTGCTGCTATATTATGGATGCAGCACGAATGGGTTGGTTCTACCGGGGTGTTGAGAACCGGAGACTACTTTTAATGGAAACGAAGCATTCCATCTTAGTCCTCAGGAGTGACAACGCATCTGCATTTTGATTCTTAATCGAGGACAAATGTGGCATCCACTTACCATCAGGTGGGTTATGTGCCCGTGTGTCACCCTTATTCTATAAAAAAAAACACTGCAATAAGTCCACCACTTCTTACGGGCTAGAACACGATGCCATTACGGTAAGTGGTCTTACATGATAAAACGCACTAGCTTAATAAAAGTCCATTCACTCTTATCTTAACGGCACAAAAAAAAACAAAAATTTTATTCAAAGTTCAGACGGAAAACTAATGCTGGCAAATTATTCCAATTATTATTTATAAATGAAGAAACAAAAGGCTTTAAACTTCTGAGGTAAAATCTATTACACATATTTAAAAAAAAAAACATTATAATCGGTTCATGACATTATAAGTACCTACTATAT